GCGGATACAGACTAACACGGCTGCTACTCTGAAACCTTTTGTTTTTTCTTGTTTTGTTTTAAAAAGTGTTTGTCACCCAATGAACTAGACAGAACAAGACTTCTTTTCTTGCTACTGGTTGAACATACCAAATGCATTTTGTAACAGTGGGCTTTTTTGGTTGATAATGTTTGAGGGCTGTGTAATCCTATCTAAGGTATTTACGTGGGCACCCATTAGCAGTGTCTGAGCACCAATCTTTATTGTAGTTATCCTGACAACACTCCTCTAATGTGGGGAGGAACTGTGACTAGAGAGACTATGTATTAGAGCAGAGAATTGCACTCAGGTTTCCCAAGTCAAAGACTAGTGCTCTAACTTGACCCTATCATTACCGATACTCTCTAGGCACACTGGGCAGGTATTCCATTTTGCTAAACTACAGGTCACAAGCACAAACTTGCTTTGCTCTTTGAGAACACTCTTTTTGCTGTAGTTCTCACTCAATGCTCTAGCTATATTAGATATTGTTAGTGCCTATTATTGTAGTATCAAAACACTTCCCCCCCCCCCATCTTTATACTGTGAATCTTTATCTCCTTAGCCCACTGATGGAGGCTGCTAGTCTAGAACAAAGCATATTGAAATGGGTCAGAGCCCAAAAGAACAAAGGAGACAGTGAATGGGGATAATTTGATATTTGGATCTTAAGATGTTTCCCTTAATATAACAGCCATATAATGGCTGACTAAGCTAAATAACACTGTTTAGTAAGCCCTTGTAAGATGAAGCCAAAATGCTAGAAAGGAAACACTACCAGTGTCTGTATCATAGATGTAAGCATAAGAGAAGTAGGCTCAGACAGGAGGGGGTGTGAAGAAGTGTGTTGACATCTGCCCTTTTCCGTCTACATTGTGCTTGGATCATCTCCTGCATAATAGCTAATCTGCCACTACATTGATTTCTGGACAACCCACTCAGTTTAAATTTTGACTTTGAGTATAAATCTATTAGCTGAAAGGAGTAAATCTCTAATTTTGCTTTTAATAAAAAAACTTTAAGAACTATATTTAAAAAAAAAATTCCCACTGGGATGGTTTGGGGGAGGGATGGAGGTAACTGTGTATAAAGAGACCCATCTAATTAAATCAGTGGAGAAATGGATAGATTGGTGAATGAGGCAGAAAATACAACTTAATGCAATTGTTTGAAAAAAATATACTTCCCACAGTACTGTGTATGATGGGGAATGGAAGGTGGAAAATAATAGTCCATATCTGGACTCTTGGGTTAACACACAGAAGGCGAAATCCAGGCCTTACTGAAATCATTGGAAGTTTTGCCCCTGACTTTAGTGGGGACAGGATTTTTATCTATAGTGCTTAGGTGGATTTTACTACAAAAGGTGACTACAGGGGAGAAATGAGTGAATAAGACACACTAAGACAATACATACAAAAAAGATAAATACCATAGTGCTAACATACGTAAGGTTAAAATCTCAAATCCTCAGGTGCTAATCCAGATTATTTTCTCTCCGAACCAAAACTATAGCTATGGGGCACTAGCTGTGCCTCTAATGTAACCCTTTCCATTGGAGGGGCTCATTTTTTATGTGACCGGTCCTCCATTTTAATTCCTGATTCAAACACATCACAACTCATGTACATGCAGAAATATATTTTAATACCACATGAAGGGAAGAGAAATGGTAAATTCTGAGACAGCACCTGCCTTTGCTGTCCAGTTGGTGTATTCTGAACTTAGAAAATAAATGGGAGGAAAGGGGGGGAAAATAATCTTTCCTTTGAGGCTGCTGGGCCAGGAGCCATTTTAGCTCTCCTTGTCACAATGTTTGTGTGTAACTAAATGCATAACTTCAACAGGCTAGACAAATATAATTTCAATCAGTCCTACAACAGGGCATGTACTGAAATAGGAGGAAAAATACACAACATGGGTTGAAACTACTTATCAGAAGGAGGAGAGAGATATAGCCACCCATAGGGGCCAACTCCATGGGTGTTACTGGGCTCAAGCACCCACTGGGGGGAAAAAAATAGGGGGTGCTTAGCACACAGAGGGCCGGATTAATCTTTTGTGGGCCCCAATGCCCAGACCAGCCACCCCCACCCCACTGCACTCTAAGGTCCCACCCCCACTTGGCATCTTCCCCCTGGGACCCTGCCCCTGCACTCTGCCACAAGGCCCCACCGCCCCTCGGCCTCTTCCTCCCAAGGCCCCACCCACTGCACGCAGGGGGTGGGGAGGAGCACCCACTGGCAAAATCAAAAGTCCGCACCTGTGCAACCACCAGTCTCAAAGTTGCTGCTTTTAAAGGTGCAGCATGTATGTTTTGCCAAATGTAAAGGCCCAGTCCATTTCCCCCACCAGGGCATGCTAGGAAAAAGTACCTATAAGATGGCAGACCGAGGCAAGTCAGAGAATGGGTAGTGACTGAGAGTTTATCTTGGAGGGGACTGCTTCTCTTTATGTCACTACCAGATAACAAGGAGAAAATCTTTTTTGAAAAAGAGGGAAGACAGCTGATGGAGTGATATGAGCCCTAATTTATTAGTTTTATGTAATCCAGCAGAGGTTACCTGGTGTGCAGTTTTCCAGAACCTTCTAAATGAAATGGGTCTCCAGCCTCGAGCAGCCTACTGGAGGGACCTATGAAAGTCTCTCATCCCAGGAATTCCTTCCCCTCTGAATCAGCCCAGTAGCAGGGGTAGGGTGACACCTCCAAGCCTTTGGTGTTTTTTTGACAGGGGGCAAACCCCAGGACACATTGAGATTTTCTTTCATGATTCTCTTCCACAGTCTCCTGTGTGAAGTTTTGGACCCTGGTCTGTGTCGGCCTCTCCTTTGTCCAACTCCTACTTTAATTCTTGCTTCTCTTTTAATCTCTGAATATCTCCCTTGCTTCCTTTAAATGTTCTGTTTGTTTTTGTTACAATTTTTCTTGCTCTTCCACACTTCCTGTCTTCTCCCTAAAATCTAGCATTCACTTAAAAGGGCTTTAAAATGTCCCCCCTTCCCGTTTTCTGCCTCTTTATCTGCTTTCCCTTTCCAGTTCCTCCTCCTTCCTGCCCCAATTATTGTTACCCCATTTCTTTACTGCTCTGTTCTCCTTTCTTCCTGAATTCTTTTCCTTCTCCTTACTTCCCTAGCTGGCCTTGTTTACTGTCCCTTCCCTAATTGCATTTACTCCTCCCTGCCTACTTTCCATAGGCCCCAGCAGAGAAATTGGGAAAGTCTCTTCTAGCACTAAGCTCTTGAGTGGTATAGTAGAAAGACAGAGCCTGAAGCATGGGCCTGGTGCAAGCTCCTCAGATGCTAAGTCCATGCTTCAGGCTCTTTCTACTACAAGTGGCTAGAAAATACCTGTCCGGGATGGGAACCCAAAGATCCTCTGGCAGCATGGAAGATGCTTTCTGCTGCAGTGACTGGGCAAGAAACTGGCAGATGACATTGAATGTCGATACATGCAAAGTAATGCACATTGGAAAAATTAATCCCAACTATACATATAAAATGATGGCATCTAAATTAGCTGTTACCACTCAAGGAGGAGATCTTGGAGTTCTGACAACATCTGCTCAATGTGCAGTGGCAGTCAAAAAAGCTAACCAATGTTTAGGAACCATTAGGAAAGCGATAGATAAGACAAAATCGCATAATGCCACTATATATATCCATGGTATACCCACACCTGAATACTGTGTGCAGAGCTGGTGATCTCATCTCAAAAAAGATACATTAGAATTGGAAAAAGTACAGAGAAGGGCAAGAAAAATGACTAATGGTATGGATCAGCTTCCATATATGGGAAGTTTTAAAGACTGGACCTGTTCAGCTTGGAAAAGCAATAACTGAGGGGGTGTGATGGAGGTCTGTAAAATCATGAATGGTGTGGAGAAAGTGAATAGGGAAGTATTATTTACCCCTTCACATAATGCATGAACCAGGGGTCACTCAATGAAATTAATAGGCAGCAAGTTTAAAACAAACATGAGGAAGTACTTCACACATTTCTAATCAGCCTGTGGAACTCGTTGCCAGAAGACATGAAGAACTAAAGGGTTCTGGGTTAACTGGGTTAAAGAAAGAATTAGATAAGTTCATGCAGGACAGGTCCATCAGTGTCTATTAACCCAGATGGTCAGGGAGCAACCTCATGCTCTGGGTGTCCTTAAACGCCTTACGTCTAGAAGCTGGGATTGGACAACGGGATGGATCACTCAATTGTCCTGTTCTGTGCCTCTGAAGCACCAGCCACTGTCTGAAAACAGGACACTGGACTACATGGACCATTCATCTGACCCCCAATGGCCATTCTTATGCTTTGTATTTAGTCACCAGAGGCCCTTGTCATGAATAAGTGCCCTCACCCCCCACCAAAATGTGACAAAGGGACAAGTGTTAGCCTGACACTTGAAAAATCACCCAAATCCAAACAACTCTGCCCCCCTGAAATAAAATATTCCCCAAAGAAACCTGAGAGACAAGGTGGGTGAGGAAATATCTTTTATTGGACCGACATCTTTGTGAAAGACAAGCTTGCACAGAGCTCTTCTTCAGAAATCTGTCAACTTTAGTACTAATCTTTCCCTCCCCCCCCAGTTCAATTGATGTACTCCTAAGTGATAGTACCCAAAGACATAGCTAGTTTATTAATTGACTGTGAAGATTGTTGTAAGCAGGGTTGACAGAAGAACAGTGTGAACATTTGGAGTTCTTGGGTTCACAAGGGCCTGTACCTCCCAGTGGTTTTTTTGTTTGTTTTTATTTTTAAAACATGAACCAATTTATCTGTGAACTAATTGCTGGAAACTGAGAAATAAGCACAATCAGAAGTAGAGGTGGTTTTGACAGGTTTAATCTTAAGCAAGATGTTTACAAAACAAAATAGGATGCAGCATGTGTGTACGCTTGACAACCTATTTGTTTGATTCTAAAGCCTCTTTTATCCTTTTTAAAAGGTTTCCAGCGTTGGATTGTCTTCTAGGGCAAATTGTCACCAATGGCAGTAAAACTTGTTTTCCAGTATTCTGGGTGAGTTTTTATTTTCTGTGTTGATTCTATAATTACATTTGAATCTAAAAAGTGTTTTTTGAACAGTATCTTTCATTTTTGTACCAAATCTGCTATTCGTGGTGGGGAAGAATGGGGAACTTTTCAACAATTCTTGTAAACAGTACAGTAGTTGAAAGAGGTGACTTGAAAGCATAATTAAAAGTGAGACTTTTATACCAGGAGAAACTTTCAAGAATCAACAGAAATAAACATTCTCAATATTTCTTATTGTGTCTGGCAGTTATACTATATTGATAGTAAATATTATATTTATGTCCAAACCAAGCTTTGCTCCTTCACTATATAGTTTCTGTTCTAGTTTGATTCTTGTAACGGAGTGCACTCACCTCTCGTGAGCATTTTCTGCTAGGGGTGAGTGAACCTGTGCACTCTCTTTGCTCCTGGTGCCCCCTGTTGGCTGTTAACTCGTCAAGTGGGTCTTCAGTGGCTAAGAACACACATTCTAAAGATATGAAGGAATCCCTTCCAGGGTAAAAGGTCCAACAGGGCCTGTGCCCTTGGTTATGTCTGCAGCTGTCTTTGGGCTCAGTTGTCAGCCCCAGCTGGGCTAGCTCTAACTACCCCTGCCCTGTTATAGAGCAGGGTCCCCAGGACTTTCTCCATGGAGACTTTTTGTCCTCTACAGTTCTCACTGACTCAGCCCTTCAGCCAGGTCACCTCTCACATTCAGTCCCCTTCTGGGGGTGGGGGGGGTAACTGTTCAACAAATGGATGGGCCTCTCTAGGGTCTCCAGCCCCATCCCTGAGCCCTTTAAATGCCAGCCTTATGCTTGGGATTCTAAATGAAACTTGTCTTTGGGCTTTGCCCACCCTCTCAATGGTTGGGGGTCAGGGGCCAGGCCCACCCACTACTCTGGGTCCCAACCCAGGGACCCTACAAATAGCAGCCACGTGCTGCTTCCTTTAACTCAGTTGCTGCTGCTATTGCCTGGGTCACTTCCCACATCCCATCCCATCCCATCTCATCTCCTAGAACTGGAAGGGACCAAAGGTCATCGAGTCCAGCCCCCTGCCTTCACCAGCAGGACCAAGTACTGATTTTGTCCCAGATCCCCAAGTGGCCCCCTCAAGGATTGAACTCACAACCCTGGGTTTAGCAGGCCAATGCTCAAACCACTGAGCTATCCCTCCCTCGCCCCCATAGCCCCTTCCTCTTCACCCTTACCTCAGGGTTGAAGTTCTCTGTTCCCTACTTGAGCAGAGTCTTTCCCAGCTTCCTCACCAGGAGAGTCTCACAGCCAAAAGAAATCTGAGGTTCAACAAGGACAAGTGTAGAGTCCTGCACTTAGGATGAAAAAATCCCAGGCACTGCTACAGACTAGGGACCGAGTGGCTAGGAAGCAGTTCTGCAGAAAAGGACCGAGGGGTTACAGTGGATGAGCAGCTGGATATGAGTCAACAGGGTGCCCTTCTTGCCAAGAAGGCTAACGGCATTTTGGGCTGTATAAGTAGGAACATTGCCAGCAGATTGAGGGATGTGATCATTCCCCTCTATTTGATATTGGTGAGGCCTCATCTGGAGTACGGTGTCCAGTTTTGGGCCCCACACCACAAGAAGGATGTGGGGGAAAATTGGAAAGAGTCCAGCGGAGGGCAACAAAAATGATTAGGGGGCTGGAGCACATGACTTTTATGAGGAGAGGCTGAGGGAACTGGGAATGTTTAGTCTGCAGAAAAGAATGAGGGGGGATTTGATAGCTGCTTTCAACTATCTGAAAAGGGGTTCCAAAGAGGATGGATCTAGACTGTTCTCAATGGTACCAGATAACAGAACAAGGAGTAATAGTCTCAAGTTGCAGTGGGGAAGATTTAGGTTGGATATTAGGGAAAAACTTTTTCACTAGGAGTATAGTAAAGCACTGGAATGGGTTACCTAGGGAGGAGGTGGAATGTCCTTCCTTAGAGGTTTTTAAGGTCAGGCTTGACAAAGCCCTGGCTGGGATGACTTAGTTGAGGACTGGTCCTGCTTTGATCAGGGGGTTGGACTAGATGACCTCCTGAGGTCCCTTCCAACCCTGATATTCTATGATTCTAACTTTAGTGTGAAGAGAAGGTCTTCAATTAGACTTGCATGTGTATATCTGAGAAAATGGCCTGATACTGCGTGGGAATGGAAGCTTGCCATGGATTGGACCTGGAATTTGGCCCGTGATTATGATTTTGCTACAGAGCCAAAGGAAGATGCACTTCACTGCAATAGGGAGGGGAAAACAGAAAAAAGTGCAGGTGAAATATACTG